TTTTTCACTTAGACCCTTTATAAAGGGTGATATATCAATTTATATATCAAAGTGAAAAAAAATTACACCTTGTTTTTTATTAAAAATACTCCTTGTATCTTCAACTATCGTCGCAGGCAGAAAACCGATGGACGTACTGAGGCCTAGGCCTCAGGATGTCCATCGGCCTAGGCCTCAGGACGTCCATCGGTTATCTGGTCGCGACCGTCTGTAAAGGACTTACACCGGATGTCCTCAGGACATCTTGTGCTATGCATAGGAGCGTTGCCATTACATATAGGTGACATAGCTGTTGCATAGTAAGAAACAATTTTTATGTAAATGTTATATCACTGTGACATGATTTGGTTTGCTGGGAAACACCCTCCATAACAACCCCAAACCTATTCTTTATAAAAAAAAACACCAATAATGGACAGAATCCAAAACCTAGCTGCCAGATATAGAGAGAGGGACAAGTCTTCTGAAATTCTTTTGGAATTCTGTATGACAAGAGCAGAAAATGGAAGAAACGGATATCCGCAAAAAAACAACGTTGGTATTTATATTTTCAAAATAACATTAATGGGTGAATCTCACGAAGTGTCCCCCGATGGTGTTACCCCGTGATATTTAATAAAACTAAATGAATTTGACCTACACTTTTATTGTGTTTTGATCTTTCTTAATTAAGTAGATATTACGTAAGCTGTACAGCTCAGGTTCCAGATTTTTAACCGCAATTAATTATTTTTTACAATGTTTTAAAAGTCTAAAACCTATCCTCCGTGACTGTTACTTTTTCTAGGTTAACCTATATGTTTTCAAATATCTGAGGTAGTAAAATCATACTAACAATATCAGTTCACTAAGTAAATTAAACACATCCAAAGCAATCGAATCAAATATAAAATATTATTAAAAATTAAAAGAAATAATTTTTATAACCATTTATGTAGGTGTTACAAAAATTGATTATATCCTCCGTGAATATGTTTTTGCTTTAAATTTTATGCAACGGATGGCGCTTTAATTATTTTAAATAAGCAAAAACCTCTGATTATAATGTCGTATACGACATTATAGATGCATGTGATTCCTGAAGGTCAGTTAGAATTTATAATCACATAACATACAAAAATTGATTTTTTTTATTGACTAGGCTATTTAGCCAGCTCATGATTATTATTATTGTTTAATAAACAACTACAACACCCAAGGCTGTGACCGTAGACGCAGATTGCAGGGTTCCCAGCATTGTTTTGTACTTTTTTTTATGATTTTATGACAAATATTTCAAATTTTATGACACTTTTTATGACAAGAATTTATTATTTCTAAAGTTATTTAATAAAATAAATGTAATTTTTTAACGGTTTATTATATAAAAATAATAGTATATTACACTACACGGGCAGAAAGTGTAAGATTCCTGCACTGCGCGCCATGATCATGGCGCGCAGTTCAGGGCTCTCACACTTTCTGCTCGTGTAGTGTATACTATTTTTCTTGCTACCCGGCCGAAAATACGGGAAAAAATTAAATGTGTATATCGAAACATATTGATGCCTGCCCCGACATTTGCGGCACGAGCGATATTATAGAGGGCGGTGGAGGTGGAATCGGGGACGAAACAACGTATTTTCAGCCGAGGTAGTAAGAAAATTACATTTTCTTACTACCTCGGCCGAAAATACGTATAGCTTGACCAATGCATAAAACGTAAACTTTCTGCCGTGGAATCGGGGACGAAACAACGTATTTTGAGTCGAGGTCGTAAGAAAATATTTTTTCTTGCTACCCGGCAGAAAATACGTTGTTTCGTCCCCGATTCCACGGCAGAAAGTTTACGTTTTATGCATTGGTCAAGCTATACGTATTTTCGGCCGAGGTAGTAAGAAAAGTTTCATTTCATCCCGCTACCATGACAACGCTAAAGTTTGATTGATTTTGAATGTAAACGTCAGAATTAAATTAAACGTCAGATTTTAATTTTGTCACAAGTTTTTTTATATCTCACACTTTCTGCCCTTGTAGTGTAATATACTATTTCTCGCATCAAAATAAATACTTAATTATTTCTGCTATAATATTTTTAATATATGTTACTTTAGTATTTTATTATAATAGGTATTATAATCTCAAAATAAATAAAACCACAAAGATATACAAATCTGAAATATTGGAGGCTCAAACAATGATTAACATGGGTATCAAGAAAGCAAAAAAAATAGTATATATACAATAGGTTCTTTTTTTAGACCCTTGTTAATCATTGTTTGAGCCTCCAATATTACAGATTTTTTAAGAGTTTAAGAGTTATTGTTAAGGTACTTCGATAATTTCTTATTTCCTTCAGAAATAATATTTTTCTACTCCTATTACGGAATTTGAGCCTTCTAATATCACTTTTATCTATGGAATTACATATATTCCGTAAAGTGTTACAGAATGAAATATTCTATCATCTGATGACAGAATAAACACCGTGGCGACATCTCTGTTTTTAATATCTAACAAATTTTAGACCGATCCAACCTCACTTTCTTCCAATTAAATTATTTTTCTATGGTATTTTTTGGAAACGTAGAAAAAGTATAGTAGTATAAAAATAAATTTACCTTTCTCATTATTTATTTCAAATTTAAAATTCATTTCCTAACCAAACTTCTTTTTCCTTCATAGCATGAAGTTCATACGTCAACAACCAAGGCCATATTTAAAACATTTTATTGCGTTTTATTCTACAGGACCGGCTTTAAATTTTATTTTACAAAATTTCCATTTTATAAAAAAGATCAAAGCTGAGAAAATTGTTAAAAAATAATGAAATTTTATGATTTCTATGACAAAATGTGAATTTTATGACGTTTTAGGACAATTTAACCAATTTTATGATATTTAAAAATTTTATGACAAACGGGAACCCTGAGATTGCTTACAGCTCTGTAGCTTAACCCATTGCGCCATCCTCGGCCCAAAAAAAAAATTGATTCTATCCTCCGCGAATCTGTTTTTGCTTTAAATTTTATGCAACGGATGGCGCTTTAATCATTTTAAATAAGCAAAAACCTCTGTTTACGACATTATAGATACATGTGATTCCTGAAGGTCAGTTAGAATTTAAATGCAGATGAGTTTTGCTTTTTTATAATTCAAAAGTTTAAGTTGATTAATTTGCTATTTAAAAACCTATCCACCGTGAAGTGTAATATCTCATATTGTATTTTTAAATAATATTATGAAGTGTAATATCTCATATTGTATTTTTAAATAATATTAAGGTGTCAGATACAATAACTTATTTCAAATATACAAAGGGATGTTTAAAAAAAAAACATACGAAATCCTAACCTCGGTGAAGCTCTAATATTCAAAATGTGTGATTTCTTAAAATTCTTGCATTAGTGCAGAACCACTTGTGTTATGTTATTACTAGACCTGGTGGCTTTCCAAAAACCCCATTCTAGGCTAACAGTGAAACAACCAAAAATAAAAAATAATCATTTTAACTTGGGGGACATCTCAATATATTCACCCTAATATATTAAACCTGTTTTATTCTGGGCCTTTGATGCTTCAATAAAGAACATTTATTATTATTACTAATATTATATGCTGTAAGTAAGTTTGGGTAAGATAAAATAAAACAATTAATGTATCCCATTTTTATATTAAATCTTACATAAAATAATATTTTGTTAATAAAAAAATATCAGTTAACAATCAACTGGTATTTAAATAAGAAAAAGCTAAAATAAATAAAAAGCTTAGTGTGAAAGTTAAATTATAGAATGAATATTATGTAACTAAATTACAAACTTTGCCAAATAAATGTTTATTCTAAAAGAAAAATAAAAAAAAATAATTAAAATTAGGTATAATAAACTAAACATGTGATTATAGATATAGAAAAATTAGTAGATTGTTGTCTATAAAAATCATTGCTGTTACCTTATATCTGAGTAAATATTTATTAAACACTACTCGCTTACTTGCTAAAATTGGTATTCTTTACGTCAATACATTTTAAGTTGTAACTATAAAAATATATTGACACCACATCACATTTATGGCAAACTTCTTACTACCAAAACAGCAATAATGGGTGTTTCCTCAGTAATCACACAACCCCAACACATTATCGGTAAATTAACTATCGAACTCTTACTTGCTAAACATAATTTGGAGAAAACACCCTTTATGTATAAACCTTAAAATAATATTAATTAAAGAACATAAGTCACAGTAACGAAAAATGAAAGGCAATGTGATAGAAAATAATTTATTAGCATGATGAAAAAACCTACAGAGAACCTATTGTAATGTATGTTCTTATTTTAACGCAATCAGCTCAAAATAATTTATATTACAATCCAGTCATACATTTAACATACAATAGATAGAGGAAAAATAAAAGGAGGCAAATAAACATAAATTCTTAGTTTCAAGTCTATAACGCCTCAAACAAAAATCGTCTTAACAGCTTAATCAGTTCTATAAATATTAAAATTAACTTTAATACATAATTCTAATTTAAAACAATTATCATTTTTAAATTAACCTGCATAAAACGGCGAACCCAGAAAATTGCAAATTTAATTTTAAGTTACTTTAAATGGTGTAAAAACATACACAAGTTATAAAAAATTTAAATTTATTTTTTAATAAGCAGCAGGCTAACCACAGTATAATTGTTAATTTAGTAATGGATATTTTTAATCTATACGTCTTACCCGTTTCATTTTCATAAATTAATGAAAGAAAATATCCATTACGATTTAAAAAAAGTATATACATACATACCCTATCATTCAGCTGGAGAAATTAGAAATCAACACCTTATTAAAAACATCTGTCGCTATAGTAAAAACATTATTTACAAAAAATATAACAAAGATATAATAAAGTATCAATTCCTATATAGGTATGACAGTACATGTAAATGTATATTATACATATACAAAACGCCAGCAAGAAGTAGAGTTGAGTTCTAAGGCATCCTGCATTAGTTTGACTTTTTAGTGTAAAAACGATAGTATAACGACATTTGTTTGTGGCTAGTGTCTAAGCAGAATTTGTTGCTTTACGGTTATTCGACTTTTACGATAGATCTGAAATTAAACAAAATTACTAAATTAGTATTAATTTACAACTATCAATTAAAGATTATTTAAAGATTTTAAAGTTTTCGTGGTGAATTTTTAAAACCAATTAATGAGCAGTAATGTATATCACTATGGAACGCCGTTGTATTTTTTAATCAAGATTTTTTGTTGTAATTTCAACTGCTAGTCATATTTTTAATTGTGTCGACTATTTTAAACAATATATATAATTCAACTAAATTTTAAACTCAAAAATAATGTGGAATTAAAAATATCAAAGTGTCCAGAAAATTCATTTTCATGATATTTTTAATTCCACATTCTTCATTTAAACGATGCGCAACATTCCATCCCTGTTTTTGTAAAAACCAAATACTACAGCAAAATCAAAGAATATACAACGCTGACCTTGGCTGAAAAATTTTCAGTGAAAATGCTGTCACTCTGAGATTCGGATTTATAATTTATGTTCTTTATTTTGTGAGTATTTGTTTCCGTGTTAATTATTTATTATTGTCTTAAAGTAACGTTTAACCATATTCCATATTTTATAATGAGTGTTCCTGTTTTTTATTTAATTTATTAATTGTTTTGTATATGTGAAAGTTTTATTTCAATATTTATTTATCAATATAACTGAACCCTGGTTATTTATCTCCACTGTTTACTTTAAAGAGCTACCCCCGCATATGGTGGAAGCACCTAAACTATTAAAGTTGGCGCCTGAGGTTTTATTACAATATCCGCAAAGAAAGTGACGTCAATTTTGAAGGAATTCCTTTAAAGCTTCCCTCGGTAAAATAAAAACATCTTTACTGTTGCACAAGGGTCTATCTTGTGGGTAATTTCCACCAATTACCACCCTTGGTCACATCTCAATATTATTACCTTATTAATTACTGGTCAAGGGGTAAGAGATTCATTTTATTATTTTAAAATGTTATTAGTAATTATGTTTTTCCAACACCATTGTCAAAAAGTCGGCTTTTTTGTTGACATTTAAGCGTGAAAAGTAGGTCATTTTGGGCAGTGCAAAATAGTACATTACCTAATAGACGGAAAAAGCGCTTATTTAAAGCCGAGCTCAGTATTCGCTGCCAATATCTCAGTTAGTATGAATTTTACGAAAAAATGTTTAAAATAAAAATTAAATGATTCGAGGGGGAAATCAATCAGCACTAAAATTGGTCCTCATACTCTCCTCCTTATAGGAGGAACAGGGGGTAACTTTAAAATTTCCAATGGAACACCCTATTTTTTATTGCAGATTCGGATCATTCGACTAAAAATAGATAGATTTTGTCTAAAACATTTTTTCATATTTTTTTTTCATATATATTATAAAATCAATTTTATTCGATTTTTCTTATCGATTCTGCAATAATTTTTCTATAAAAATAATTATCTTATTAAATTAAATTTTTTAACTAATATTTAAGTTTCCTTTGGTTTAAGTTTTATACATTATTTCATTTGGTGATAATTATCAATTGCGCACCATGGTCACTTTTTACCTGCCAGCATTAAATCCTTTAATTTAAAGGATTATTGTACTATTTTTGATAAAAAATACCTCATTTAAGGTTAAAAAAAACTATTTTGTCAATTAATTAATTAAATCCTAATTGAGGTATAAAAAAATGGCATTTAGTTATAAATAATTATTATTGAGGTATAAAGAAACTATTTATACATATAGTTCATTTTTTTTATCTGGACTCATGTTTTTTTGTTAGGTTTGTGGCTTATGCTAGTTTGACTTAGTATTTTTAGTATTTAAAAGTGGTACTTCTGCTAAAGAATTTAATTAAATACTTTGATAATAATAATACTAATAATCACAGACCTACAGGTCTGTGCTGTTGAATCCACAGGACTTGCAAAGTATTAAAGAAGATTCTTTAATGAAACTTTTATTTTATTAGTGTCAAAAACTACAACTTATTTTTAATAATATTTCTATAGTAATATAAACAAACTTCAAACACCCTATATACTGAATTCAATTATTTAATTTAGTTAATATATCTAAATCATATTTCTAACACTCCCTCTTAAATTAACATAATTAAACATTTTTATTATCTATATTAATCATCTAACATGAGCACATGAACCTATCTCTAAAATACCTAAATTTAATTGCATCTAAAGGTTTGGTAAACAAATCTGCTAATTGTTCTTTAGTATTACAATAACAAACTTCAAAAATTCCGTTTACAACTTTTTCGTGAATATATCTATATCTTACATCGATATGTTTACTGCGTTGATTTATGACACCATTTTTAATTATACTTATTGCACTATTATTATCTACGTTTAGTACAGCTTTTATTTTTTCGTTTAGTAATTCTTCCAAAAAACCCTTTAGATATAACAGTTCTTTACTACACTCTGCAGCCGCGATATACTCGGCTTCAGCTGTTGAGAGTGCAACTATTGGCTGCTTTCTTGCACACCATGATACTGGACCTCCATTAAACATGATTATATACCCCGTAGTACTGCGTCTAGTTTCCACACACCCGGCATAGTCTGAATCGCTATACGCTATCAATTCGTTACACTTTGTATTAACTTCATATTTAATCCCTAGATTACTAGTTCCCTTTAAGTATTTTAAAATATGTTTAATACTGTTAACATCACTGTTCGTTGGATTTTGCATGTAACGACTAGCAAAGTTTATTGAATAGCTCAAATCTGGTCGAGTTTTATTACATAAATACAGTAGATTACCTACTGCTTTACAATATGGAAAGTTTTCTCGTTCATTTTTGTCACTTCTTTTAATATCACTGGATGTTATTGGTACTTTGTGCGTTTGACTATTTTCCATTCCAAAATCACTCAGAATTTTCTTTACATACTTAGTTTGATTTAATTTAATGTCTTGATTGTTCTGCACTACCGATATGCCTAGAAATGTATTACAATCATTTATTACTTTAACTTCAAATTCACTTTTTAACATATTAAGAAAATTCTTTATTTTAGTTTCATCGGATCCTATTATTAAACCATCATCCACGTAAATTGCGAGAATTATTAATCCGTCGCGACTTTTAAAAACACATTGTTCTGATTGAAGAGCTTCAAGACCAATTTTTATAAGAAAATTTTTGAATCGTTGATTCCATTGAATGGGAGCTTGTTTTAGTCCATATAAAGCCTTTTGGAGCTTGCATATTTTTCCTTGTTCATTTCCATATCCTTCTGGGATTTGCATGTATATATCCTCATCCAAAAATCCATAGAGAAATGCAGTTTTAATATCAAATTGTACTATTTTATCATTACGTTGAGCGGCTATTGCAAATATTGTTCTGATAGCTGCACTACAAATAACTGGACTGAAAATCTCTTGATAATCTACACCAAATTCTTGTTCAAATCCTCTTACAACTAAACGAGCTTTGTATTGCCCATTGTCCTTTATTCGAAAAACCCATCTGTTGCTTAGTATTTTGCTGCCTTTGATTTCATTTTTATTGACTAGAGTCCAAACATTATTTTTTTCTAAAGATTTTTTTTCTTCATCTATCGCTGAAATCCAATCATCTTTATTTATTCCAGTCGTAGCTTCCTCATAGGTAAGATAAACTATATGATCATTTAATGACATAGGTAGTTTTTTTATTCTATGGCCTCTTCCAAGTAATTCTTCTTCTTCGTACTTACTATTGACTTGAACATCATCTTGATTTTCATCTATTTCTTGGTTTTTCTCCATTTCTTTCTCATTTTTATTACTTTCTTCCTCTTTAGTTTTATTGTTTTCGTCCTCTTCTTCGTCTCCATAAATTTTGACCTCTTTGCTTTTCATTTTACGTGTAATTTTATTATTAAACACAACATCTCGTGCAAATACAATTTTTCGTTTTTCTTCATGAAAAAGTCGATATCCGTTTTGGGTATAACCAACAAACACTAATTTTTCACTTCTTTCATCTAGTTTTCTCAAATGACCCAATTTTTTTGCGTAGGCGTCTGCTCCGAAAATTTGTATGTATTTCATGTCAGGTTTTCTACCATTCCACATTTCATACGGAGTAACTTCTAACACTTCTGTAGGAGATCGATTTGTTAAGAACGCCGCAACCCTTATAGCCTCACCCCACATTTCCTTATGTAAGCCTGAGTCAAAAATCAAGGATCGCGCTTTTTCCATTAAAGTTCGGTTGAGTCTTTCGGCCCGTCCATTTAATTGCGGTGTATAACTAATCGTATAATCCAATATAGTTCCCCTGCTTTTACACCATTTCTTCAAATCCTTGCTTAAATATTCGCCTCCATTATCACATCTGATTTTATGAGTTTTGACACTCCATTTTGCTTCACTTTCGACTAGGAATTCTTTTATTGTACTTTCCACCTCGAACTTTCCTTTTAGTAGGTACACCCAAAGATAATACACCCCATAGATTGGAAACTCTCCCATCACTGCCCTCTAGTTCTACAATACCTGAACTATATCTATTTTTAAATTGCAGACATCTGTACAAACGCTATTTGCAAATGTCAATGTCAATCATAATTATTGATGTCGATCATAATTTTTGAATTAAATACATTTTTGCGCCTTAAAAGTGATAAAACGTGTTAATGGTTGTGAAATGTATTGTTGTTGGGCGCGGAAATGTAACCAATTTGTAAGTATTGACTATCCTGCCGTCCTAAGCCAAAAAGACTCATCTCGTTATTATTAAATTATTCTCTTAGAAAAAGACAAATTTTAACTATACATACATTTTTAAGTACCTACTATAGCTCCTAAAAATTTCTTATTAAATTGATCGTATCTTGGAAAAAAACAATAAAGCGCTATAATTTATAAAGTAAAAATGTAGAGTTGCGTCTTTTTGGCGTAGCACGGCAGTATCGCTCTAGCGTAAAAATACTGTTTGTTAATTATGAATTATTTAGGATTGCTTGTTTAATGGTAATTTAGTCCAGGCCAAGCCCAGGCTACTTATGGTTGTTTCAAAACCAATAGTTGGCAA